TCAGCAGCGACCATCTCCAGTAGGGTATTTCTTTGACACTTTGCCCAGTTATCTGTGATTACAGACCTGTGCTGATCTTCCTTTGCTTGTTTGGTCCTTCACCCATGAAGTGTGCCCATCTATCATGGGACCAGGCTTTCCTGGGCACATCCAGCCTGTAGCACAGCACACGCCAGCGCTGGCTGTGGTGCTGAGGGCTATTTTACAGTACAAGGGGTAATTAACAGTAAGAACCATGCAGCTAGAAATCAGAGACATGCAGTATGAGGCATTTCATGATGAAAAAAAAAAGCCTGACTGGGCTTTCTCAGACACACATGTTTTTTTCTAGGACCATACTCAATTTCAAAAGCTCTCTCTCCCTGTTTCCAGAGGAATCATTGCTGTTACAAGCAGTATCCATTGCGGAGTGCATCCCTAATTCTTTGCAAGAGGCTGGCAAAGTGAAATCCTGGCAGTGCTGAAGCAAATCGCAAAATCTCCACTGATTCCCACAAAATCAGGGACTCACTCCCCCTCTGAACTACCCTGCACATCTCCCAGCCTGTCCCTAGCACTACCTAGGAATAATTAAATATGAAATATTGGGCCACGTGGCAGCCACAGATGCTGGAAGCGTATGGTATGCTGCAGAAAGGCCCGGCGTCTTGGGTCGCATCTGTGAAGCAAGGGAGAAAATGCAGATTTTTCTCCTTATTATGCTTGAAGTCCATATGCTCCTCAGCTTAAAGATGTGTCCTAACGCTCCATCGCTGGAATTTTCCAGCATTATCACTCCTTCCATGTATCGATATGTGTCCAGACAATTTCTTTGGGCCACATGGCCATTACTTTAAGAAGCAAGAAGGTGATAACGCCAGCAAGCCAGGAGGCCAGTGCACTGACCCTTGCCGAAAAAGGCATTGTTTCGCGGGGAGATAAGAGTCTCCCACCTCCATGGGTGGGCCTCTGGAGTGACCAATGAGCGTGGGCAGGCGCCAAGGTCCGCTCTCCCCTTCCTCTTTATAACCAGGGCTGCCAGGGCGCCGAGTCCAAACCCTCTCCGAGTGTTCATCGCAAGGAGCCGGAGCCTGCACCCTCCTGCACAATGACGCTGACTCAAGCCGAGAAGGCCGCCGTGGTCACCATCTGGGCAAAGGTGGCTACCCAAGCCGATGCCATTGGGGCAGAATCACTGGAGAGGTAAGTCCCCCAGAACCCCTCCGAAGAGGGTGCCGCTGTCAGGGTGCACCTCCTGTAAAACTTGCATGAGCGAGAGCACGCTGGGACTGGTGAGAGTTGATGGATGACCTCTATGTTGTTTGGTATGTAATATTCTGGAATTATATCTGTGCTACTAAATGCTAATAGATGGCTTCAAAACCTTACAGCAAAACATCATTTTCTAAGCGGTTCTAAAGGTTTATTTCCCATTATAGCAATTCAGAAGAATTCGTAGCCAGGAGCCCTGGCGAGGAATTCAAAGTCATTCATATTCCTGATATAGGGTTATCACTGTTAGGAAATGAACTTGAAGTGGTTTATTGTACAAGTGATGCAATTTCTGTATAAGTTCTGTATAAGTGATGCAATTTCTCTTGCAATTTCTAGGCATTAAGAGAATAGCTGTCCACTAAATTCACCGGATACTCGTGTTTCATTGTTCCAGTTGATAAGTAACAAACTGTTAGGAAACAAGACAACTGGACCCCCTGCATGAAGTAGAGCACAGTAATCCAAAGTTCATACAAATTAAGCAAGCTGGCACAAAAGGGATAATAGTCTGGAAATTGCTCAGAAATTATGATGTTATTCAAAGTTAGTTAAATGTTATTTACAGCTCCATATAAAGTATTGCGATACTCCTTCCACGACTCTGAGTACCACTCATACCAATCCTAGTTCGTTCAGCTCGTATTAGTTTGAAGATCCTGCAAATTGGCTTACCATGTAATACAGGAAATGTAGTGAAAATTTGGGGCTATTATTTGTTTTAAAATACCCTAAAAAACCAGAAAATACATTAAGTTTAAAATTATTTTTAACATTTCATTCTTCTCTAGTACCTATAGATTAGCCCACTGTCTAATCTGCACATACTGCAGAAGAGGTTTAAGAGCAGAAAGACCTTCCTGATGCCAGCTTCAAGACCCCAAAGCTCTGTTACAACCGCTGAAGGAGTGCACTTCTGTAGCTGGCAGGTTTACACGGCACTTGCTCTGAGGTTGTACCATCTCATGCATGTCGCTTCCACTACTGAATCTCATTCTCATGTTCTCCTCCAGGCTTTTCTCCAGCTACCCCCAGACAAAAACCTACTTCCCTCACTTTGATCTTAGCCAAGGCTCAACTCAGCTTCGTGGTCATGGCTCCAAGGTCATGAACGCCATCGGGGAAGCTGTGAAGCACATTGATGACATTAGAGGCGCTTTGGCCAAACTCAGTGAGCTGCACGCTTACATCCTCAGGGTGGACCCAGTGAACTTCAAGGTGAGTGAGCACAGAGACTTTCAGGGATGAAAACTGCTGTCACAGAATTAGTGACCACTGATGGCAGCTTGATCCCTGACCGCACCGCACAGCCTTGTCAACTTATGTCGCTGCTTGTTCCCCACCTGATTTTTAACCTGAGATTGGATCTTTTAATGCAAGATCTGGTCTAGCTCAAGCAAAGAATTACTCAGGGGGCTCCTATGGTTTGTGTTACACAGACTCGAGTCTCTGCTGCCTTTGTTGTAATTTAGGAACCTCCCTCACAAGACAAGTTATATCACCTGTCTTGAACAAAGTAAATTCTAAACATTTCCACTTTGTTGCATTTCCTTTTGGGGAGGAAGGAAGAGACGTTTGGAAAGAGGGAGTGGTATCGAGCGGTGCCTTTTGTCCTATACCAAAGGCAACTCTGCTTCTTCACACATAGCATCAGGCAGCAGCGCTACCTGGTTGGGACACGTACGCCGGGACCAAGACTGACATCTGTTACTGATTACGATGGATTTCATCCTGTTTTCCCTTACAGCTGCTTTCCCACTGTATCCTGTGCTCCGTGGCTGCCCGCTATCCCAGTGACTTCACCCCAGAAGTTCATGCTGCGTGGGACAAGTTCCTGTCCAGTGTTTCCTCTGTTCTGACTGAGAAGTACAGATAAATGGCCTCCACAGAGGGTGAGGGACGCACACCCATGGTGCACCCCAGCTGCCAGGCTCTCAAATGCAGTCCTCTCAAATCCCCTATGCAGGGGCTTGGTCATCTGCAAAACCCAATAAATAATTCAAATGTGAGCTATGGTCTTGTGCTTTCATCTCCATGTGTTCCACCTACACCTTACTGTTCAGGCAGGGGTGTTCTGAAATGTCTGTACAATATGGAGGGGAAAATACTAAGCTGTGTAAATTCATGTACTAATTCATGTACTAATGAATTCATGTACTAATTCATGTGCCAAGCTGTGTAAATTCAGTGGGAATAACATAACATTGAGCAGAAGTCCAGAACAGGCTAGAGCCCTGTGACTGCTACTGCTCACCGAAGGTGTATCCACCAAAGACTGTTTCCAGGCTGACCAGGACAGAATTTTTTACCCTGCTAGGATATTGAATGGACCCAGGCTTTTTGTCCGGCCTATCCAAAACCTATCACAACATGTTGTGAACAAAACCTGCATTGCCATATGTAGTGATGTGCCCAGAGCAATGCTGGGCGTTGTCTTCTCATGCTCCTCTCCGTGGGGTATGGACAAGGTATCTGATGGGCTTCATGAACACTTTGGGCTATCACACCTGCTAGCCAGGTTTGGTAAAGGGACCATCCCCTCAATTTGATTTCTCTTATTTTTATACAGAGAACTTTACATGCATTTGAAATTTGAGAATACTAGTGGTCACTGGAGATCAGTGTTGATGGACCACAAATTCCCGGGGTTTCTGTGGAAAGCAGCGACAGGGAAGAGTAGAGAACTGATGGTCACCCTGGGGGGAGCGCAGGGACCCTCCATACGTACCTGTGGTGGGTTAACCCCGGTGGGCAGCTAAGCACGATACAGTCACTCATTCAGTCCCCCTCCTCCACGGGATGAGGGGAAGAGGAAAGGAAGAATAAAAGCAGGAAAACTTGGGGGTCAAGAACAAACAAACAAACAGAAATAATTATTTAATACGTGAAAGATAAATGGAACAAGAGGGAAGAAAACAAAACAAAACAAAACAGGTGATGCAAAGGCAATCACTCACCACCTCCCATGGGTAGACCGATGCCCAGCCAGTTCCTTAGCAAAAAAGATGGGTACCCCCACTAAAACTCCCTCAAACCCCCTCTTTTCGCTTTTATTGCTGAGCATGGTGTTATATGGTATGAAATACCTCTTTGGTTAGTTGTGGTCATCTGCCTGGTTGTGTCCCGTGCCAGCGTACCGTGCACCCCAAAATCTATTCCCTGGGGGGCAGCGTGAGAAGCAGAGATGGCCCTGATGCTGCGCAAGCACTGCTCAGCAAACCCCAGAGCATCAGCGTGTCATCAGGGCTGGCTTGGTCTAAAATCTAAAACAGAGCGCTATGTAAGCTGCTGTGAAGAAAATTATTTACCGGGTTACATTCACTGCCCATGCCTGTCAGAGGACTTCTGACATGAAAAGGTGGGTGCAAAATCTGAAGCACACTCTGATCGACAGCCTGAACTGGCGTTGCAAGCTGTGGTCCTCATCTCATTCACAAAATTTCATGACTGTGTTTGGGCAAAGGGGAGAGAGACGGTGCAGAAGCTCTGAAGCCACCAAATTGCTCTAAATGTGTCACAGAGTGTACCGCAGCAGATTTTAAAACATTCTACACTTGTGGGTCTCCGGTAACCTGAACATTTAAATCCACAACTTAGACAGTAGGTCAGCATCTGGTGTGTCCCTAACCCCAAATTTGTACCAAAGACGTTGTACAGAGGCTGAGTGAAGGATGTGACAGTCACCAAACACCATATGCCCTGCGGAATGTCCCAGCGTTTACGGAGAGGCAGGAGCACACGCTGGGGTGGGAAGAAGGGAAGAAGCCCAGGCCTGACAAGCATCACAGATGGACTTTGGAGTAGGTCAGCATCTGGTGTGTCCCTAACCCCAAATTTGTACCAAAGACGTTGTACAGAGGCTGAGTGAAGGATGTGACAGTCACCAAACACCATATGCCCTGCGGAATGTCCCAGCGTTTACGGAGAGGCAGGAGCACACGCTGGGGTGGGAAGAAGGGAAGAAGCCCAGGCCTGACAAGCATCACAGATGGACTTTGGGAAGCCCGTGCGCCCACAACGAAGGTTCTTCCCCAGCCAGGTTTCTCCGGGCTGCCAGAGAGGTGATGTTTCCCATGGTAGATCCCCAGCGCGACCCGGGAGGGCTTGTCCGTGGCTCCTGCTCAGAGGCCCATGGGCTTTTTGGGCAGAGAGGGGCTGGATGCGCTGGAGTCTGAAGGACACGAGGGGCACATGTGGGACCCACCCTGACACCCGCAGAGCCAGGGAGGACCCTGGCCCGGCCAGGGGGGAATGGTGGATCTCAACAGGAGACTTGAGGGCACGCCAGCCGGCGAGGCCGAGGCTGTGGCACACGCGGGACAT